ATATTTTGCGCACAGAATGAACAGTTGATGATACAAAACTCTAAAAATTGGGACCCCTTCTCACATTTCTCCCTTTTCAGTTCCTTTCCTTTATCCCAGGTATCCTAATTCTTATGGTCTCATCTATATTCCTGGTAGCATGAGGGGGGAGGAAATAATCTAATTAGTCACTAATATCTTAGTAATAAATTGGATCAATATTATTGCTCCTTCAAGGAGCTTTTGCACTTAAAAGAATGCAAACCTGAAAAGAACTCCCCCCAGAAGATTTTTCAGCAATTAAATCAAGAGTAACACATGTCTCCTGTCTCAGCTCTTAGGTTCACACATCAAAATCCCTACTGTGGAGTCTGAGGCTTTGCTGCAGTGAGTGGGGAGCTGCAATATGCATACAGACTTCCCTCCTGGGCCCCTCAGATACCTTGTGGAAAAGCCCTCGGATCCAAAAAAGAAAAGCTAGCACTTTAGTTTCCTTGACCTTTTGCTTAGGATACAGGCTCTGAAGGGACAGGTAAGGGTGTGCCTTTCCTCACCCAAGGCCTTTCCTCATCTCCTCCCTCCACCTGGAGTCAGCACTTGCTGGGAGGCTTACAAGTGAATGTGTCAGAAAGTTTGGGAGGTGGCTGTTGGAAGGAAGAAGGTACGGGTACTTCTATCAACAGATAATATTAAGCTTGAGTCACCAGTGTCTAATATTGGGTGCTTTGTTTCAAGTGGTGCATGCTAAGCCATTTGGTCCCACACCAGTCAGATACATTCATCATGACTCATAGATTCTTGTTTAATGTGTTAAGTTCGTGTGTGTGGAATGCATACTTGTTGGGTTATTGACTTTTGAGTGTCCCTGCCCTGCAGGAGGGCAGAGAGAGCACTGGTAAAATGTCTTATTTGCCTTTGGATGTTTAACAATGCTACCCGTGGGCCTCACGCATATAACTATCAAAAAAAGATTTGTAGAGGGGATGAAAGAACTTCTGTTGAAGTCAGCTAGTCTCAGTTGAGTCCAGCTTTTTACTGAAAGTTTTGCTGAGAAAAGACTGGAAGTTCTATCATCCTAAAGATGTCCCAGGGGAAAAAAATATGGCAAGTGAAGAGAAGTCAGTGTACAAGTTTCTCAGCAGGAGCCTAAGCTACATCCATCCATCCATCATAAGAATCTTAGATATCAGGGCCTAACCAGCAGGCTGGCAAGTAGATCTTCCAAGAGAGAGAAGCCTCCTTCATATGAGCTCATCCTATTGCAAAGAGGGGCAAGCAGGCCAGTCTGGCCCCATGAACAAGGCTCAGGCATCAGCAAGGAAGTGTGACTCCAGAAATAACACAATGTTTCCCTCGTGGATTTGACCCCAGATCAGCTCTATATGTCCAAAGGCATTAAGCAAGTCACTTGATCATGCTCACTTACCAGGGAGCACAGCTTAGAACCCAGGTTTTGAGGTTGCCATAGACAGGGTTGAAGTCCCAGCTATACCTCTTAATAACTGCATGACCTCAGATAATTAACTCCATTTCCTGACCTGTCAAATAGGGATAATAAATAGTACCCCACCAAGTTGCTGTGAGGATCAAATGAAACAGGATATGTCTCACTGAGCACTGTGCCTAGCCCCAGAAAACACTCAATGCATTATCATTAAAGCTGACCCTAATAGGAAGTAGATTTATCAAGTTTCTTCCAGTTCTAAGAGCGCTTAACAGTTTTGTGACTGTGATTCTCATTTTTAGAATCATTAAACTGAATGATCAATCAATCAAGTGAGTTCTTCAGATAAAGGCTTATAGTGGACTAAGGATTAATGCATTTGCCTCAAGAGGGTTTGAGATAATGTCCTAGCAAGCATCGTTTCTTTATTGCACTCACGCTGCACGCCACCATCTCCCACTGCTGGGATCAAAGAAGTTTCCTCTCCACCGTTTACAAATTGGTGGATCTAAACCAAACCCATAAGTCTGCTCTGGCAATGAATGTTTAAGACAGACATGAATCACAGCCTTGGGCTATTTCTTTGTCTTGGAATATTTTAGTGTCCTTTTCACTTTGTTGAAGGACAGGATGTTCCAAATCAGTGAATCACTTTTATTTATAAAATGGAATGGATGAGGTGACATCAATGAAAATGGTAGAATATAGATCTCCAAAAACTTCTCCTCCATAAAAACCATGAGAACAAAGGCAAAATTTGTCAGAATCAACTGCCTTGTGCTATTTCCCATATCAGGCTGCTTATCTTGCAAGATGCCTAGCCTAAACTAACAGCAAATTATTTTCAATTGAATCTGTCTTTACTAAGAGTAAACAAACCCTTACTAACTCATGGCATTCATTTAAAGCATGTATTTCAAAGGAAATACAATATCACCCAGTGGGGGAAAAACCAGTGTCTTGACTGCTTGCTGCCAAGCCTACTCTACAATGCATTTATGACTACCTCCATCGCCACAGATACACACCTGTCCACACACACACACAGAGCCAAAAAAGAGAAGGGCCAACAGAGATAACATGTTTTTGGAAGACATGAAGCAGTTCAGAGGAATGAAACCTGGCATGGCAGGGTGGAGAAGGCTGAAGAAGTGCCTGGAGAGGCTCTGCCGAGGAGAAGCAAGCTGATGTGTTCCATGGAACCCAAGAAAAGCTCAGGAATTTTAGGCATCATTGAACATCTTCTCCCCTAGTCCCCAATCACCTCGCCCTCAGCGTCCAAGTAGCTTATCCATCCCACATCCCAGTAGAAAACAGAGGGCTTAGTTTCTGGGGAGACTGCTCCAGAGCTCTGGACTCTGGAGCCTGAGGCACTGTGAGGACAGGGGCCTTTACTAAAGATAGTAATTAAGTTGAACTTCTGCCTTAGAAGCAGTGAGTTTTCCAGTCTCTACCCTCTCCTCCCCCGCCCCTGCCACCCCCCCGCCACCCCCGTTCAGTTCACAGAACACAGGCCACTGGCTTATATCCCAGGCAGGAGGCTGAGGAGTCATTCTGAAGCACATGATGGGTCCAAGAGAGAAGGCCTACAGATGTAAACATTTATGGTCCTCGTCCCATTCATCTACTGTGCAATCCAACAGGAAATAATCCCCACCTTATTGGCTTCCTGCAGCTGCTGTAACAAATTACCTCACATTTGGTGGCTTAAAACAACAGAATTTTATTCTCTCAAAGATCTGGAAGCCAGAGGTCCAAAATCAATTCACTGGGCCAAAATCAAGGTGTTGGCAGAGCCATGTCCCCTCTGGAGACACCAGGGAAGAATCCATTTCCTGCCTCTTCCAGCTTCTGGTGGCAGCTGCATTCCTTAGCTTGTGGCCACATCACTGGCCTCCATGGTCACATTGCTTTCTCTTCCTTTCTCAAATCCCCCTCCGCCTACCTTTCATAAGGACATTTGTGATTACATTTAGGGCCCACCAGATAATCCAGGATAATTTCTCCATCTCAAGATCCTTAACATAATCACATTTGCAAAGTTCCTGCCCTATAAGGTAAGTAACATTCATAGATTTTGGGGATTCAGATGTGGACATTTCCGGAAACCATTATTTAGTCCACACCACCACCCACATACAGAAACTTTGAAATCAGCCTTATGGTTTCTCACAATTACGTGTTAGCAACATTAGAACTTTTTCACCTTTGTTGGATATCTGAATTTCTTGTTTTATTGATTATCCATTCATGGCTTATCTGTTTTACTTTCTATTGATGTTTTTCCTATAGATTAAGAGAATTTTAGATAAGGCCACTAACCCTTTATCTGCTATGTATGTTGAAAATACTTTTCCTAATTTACCTTTTCCTATTAACTTGTTTACAGTTTGTTTTCTAATATATACAAACATTTTTAGTGTTATGTAATCAAATCTAATACTTCTTTTCTTTTGTAATTCATCCATTGATATTATATCAGAAAAATATGCCTTATCCTAATATTAGATACATGCTAATATATTTTCTCCTGGTTTTATGGTTTGAAAAGTATTTAATTCTTTAATCAACATGGAATTTATTTTAATATGTAGTATAAAAAAATCTAACTTAATTTTCCAAGTTATTCAACAATTGTCTAACACAAACTATCTTTTCCTTTCCCTATGGATTTGTCATATTATCTTTCTCAAATATATAAATCTTATATATTCTAGTGTCTGTTTCTGAGCTCAGTTGAGTATCTTAATCCTCTTTCAGATGTTTGAGGTATGTCTCTCCTACCTCTACTCCCAAGTTTCTAGTTACAAATTAATAACTATGGTCCATCAAACCATCCCAAAGTAATTTCACATTTTTCTCATTCTTTCTAAATGTTTATATAATTATTTATGTTTTGGCATTCTACCAGTCACTTATCTAAAAGAGTTCATTTTTATCATAATACATGTACATGTATTTGGAAATTTTTAGAAACAGGAGAGCATATTCACACTTTTGAAAGAAAAGAACCTACAGATAACTTTTCCTTTTTGTTGTTAATACAATGATCCATTGAATATCTCTGATGATTGTATTAATTAGTTAATTCAACAAATACGATGCATCAGCCATTTTTCTAGGTGCTAGCTATAAAGGACAAAAACAGATAATTATCCCCACCTTCATGAAACTTACTTTTTAATAGTGGAGAAAGATAAAAACAGGATAGGCAAAAATTTAGATGTAGTGAGTGTGTCAGAGTGTAGTGAGTGATGAGTTCTATGGAGAAAAATAAAGGTGGGGGGACAGGAAATTCTGAACAGGTGACTGGGGATGACCTCACTGAGGTATTATGAGTCAAGATTGAAAAAAGTAAAGAAATCTTTACTTTTTTTTTCTGTAAACTAACACAAATGGTTAATTTACATTGATATCCTTGTTATATCTTCAGATATACTTTATATTTTAAATCAATTACATAATCATTCATTGCTTATCTACTTCAATGAGCAATATGTTAATCTTGATATAGCAAAAAGAATCATTGCATATTTTAAACATCAAATTGACCATGAATTAAGTATAATATACTTACAGGAGTGAAGCAAGCTGTTGGAAACCTTTGAACTGTAGAACGAAATACAAAACTCCTATGTTAAAAAAAAAAGATATGATTTTCTAAATTTATTTTTAATGAGAGGGTCTGTTAATTTATTCCCTATCTTTCAATTAAATATTAAAAAAATGCTAATCTGGATATAATGGACATTAATGAGGTTTAAAAGCCATTAGTATTGATTCTTAAGGATGTATATAGAAAGGCAAAAATGAAATTATTAAAAGCAACTTTATAAGTGTATAATTACCTGGAAGCATATTTGGGAACTGGTGCAGGAAGCAGATTGTATTGTCCTGGTGAAAGCTTATCTGACTACACAGAATAGACAAGGACACCAATAACAGATTATTATAGGTCTTAAACTCACTTTATCCTATTATCTATCATTCATAATCCTTTATTTTATTACCATACAACATTATATAATTTATTCTCTATTTTAATAGTGGAAACACATTTTCAAAGGTGGAACTTCAAAACATTCCAGATATTGACATTTCATGGTGAATTTTATGACTGTATGCCTGAGATGATGTGTTGAAAAACACTATACAATTGATCATATTTTACATGTACTATATTCAACAAATCAATTCAACCATCATTAAGTGAGCCTGCTCTATGAGAAAAGAACCCCACTAGATATGGTGGAGAATACAATGGTAAGAGGGCTATTGTCCCTGACCAACAGGAATGAGAAGGTATATACATAAACAATTCTAACATAAAACAATATAATCAATGCTGAAAAACAGATTGAAGATCTAGGAGATAGGGAGAGATTAAACCTAACTGGATGGCCCATGTAGCTAACATCACAAACAAATAGTGATAAACTAAAAGCTTTTCCTCTAAGATCAGGAACAGGAGTAGGGTGCCCACTCTCTCCATTCCTATTCAGCATAGTACCAAAAGTCCTAGCCAGAGTAATTAGGCAAGAAAAAATAAATAAAAGACATCCAAATTAGGAAGCAAGAAGTAAAATTGTCTCTATTTGCAGATGACATGATCTTATATATATTTTTTTAAAAAAAAAACAAAACCTAAAGACTCCACAAAAAACAAAACAAAACCTGAACTGTTAGAACTAATCAACGAATTCAGTAAAGGTGTAAGATACAAAAACAACATAAAAAAATCAGTTGAGTTTCTACACATTAACAATGAAGTATCTGAACAAAAAATTGAGAAAACAATCTCATCTGCAGTGTAATAAAACACGTAGGAATAAATTTAATTAAGGCAGTGAAAGATCTGTACACCGAAAACTGTATTAAAAAATTGAAGAAAATACAAATAAACACAAAGATATCACATGTTCATAGATGAGAACAATTAATATTGTTAAAATATTCATACTATCAAAAACAGCAAACAGACTCAGTGAAATCCCTATCAAAACTCCAACAGCATTTTTCAGATACAGAAAAACAATACTAAAATTTATATGGACCTACAAAAGACCCTGAAGTAAGGCACTCTTGAGAACAACAACAAAGCTGAAGGCATTACATTTCCTGGTTTCAAACTACATTATAAAACTATAGTCATGAAAACAGTATGATACCAGCATAAAAACAGACACATAGACCACTGGAACAGAATGGAGAGCCCAAAAATAAACCCATGTATATGATCAACTTATTTTGGCAAAGTTTCCAAGAATATATAACGGGGAAAGGATAGTCCCTTCAATAAATGGTAGTGGGAGAACAGGATATCCACATGCAAAAGAATAAAATGAGACCCTTATCTTATACCACTCATAAAAATTAACTCAAAATGGACAGAATACTTAAACATAAGACTTGAAACTATAAAAACCCTGGAAGAAAACCTAGGAAAGGCTCCTTAACATGGGTCTTAGCAATTTTTTTTGGATATGATACCCCCCAAAAAAAGCAAAATAAGGTAACAAAAGTAAATATAAACAAGCAGGAAGACGTCAAACTAAAAATCTTCTACATAGCCAAGGAAACAATCAACAAAATAAAAAGGCAATCTAAGGAATGGGAGAAAAGTATTTACAAACCATATATCTGATAAGGGGTTAATATCTAAAATATATAAGGAACTCATACAATTCATGAGCCAAACAATAATCCAATTAAGTTGAACAAAAGACCGGACGAGGTATTTTTCCGTAGAAGACATAATGGCCAACAGGTACATAAAAAGGTGCTGTGGGGGCTGTTGGTGGGACAGGGGAAACTGATGGCGGGAAAATGGAGACAAATGCATTGGAACAATAAAAAATAAATTAAAAAAGAGAAATCATTATCGTTGTAAAATAATAATAATCTAAAAATAAAGTTTAAGCTTAAATGCTAAAAAAAAAACAAGAAGAAGAAGAAGAAAAGGTGTTGAACACCACTAATCATCAAGGAAATGCAAATCAAACCCACAATGTGATGCCACCTCACAACCGTTAGGATGGCTATTATTAAAAAGACAAGAGATAACAAGTATTGTTAAGGATGTGGAAAAAAAGGAATGCTTGTGCACTGTTGGTGGAAATGTAAAATGCTACAGCCAATATGAAGAACAGGTTCCTCAAAATATTAAAAATAGGGAACAAAATCAGTATCTGGAAGAGAGATGTGCACTCCCACGTTCGCTGCAGCATCACTCACAGTAGCCAAGCTATGGAAACAACCTAACTGTTCACTGATGGATGAACGGATAATAAAAATACAATATATAAACAACTGAAGTACATATATAGACTATTCAGCCATAAAAAAGAAGGAAATCCTTTTTGCAACAACATGGATGAACCTGGAGGGCATAATGCCAAGTGAAATAAGCCAGACAAAGACAAACACTGTTCCGTATCACTTACATGTGCAGTCTAAAGAGCTTGCACTTGCGAAACAGAGTAGAATCGTGGTTGCGGGGGGGCGGGGGGCAGGTTGGTGCCTGCCAGGGGCCAGGGTCGGGGTGGGGGGTATTGGTCAAAGGGTACAAAATTTCAGTTATAAGATGAATAAGTTCTGGGGATACAATGTACAGCACGGGGACAATAGCTAATAATACTGTATTTGTATACTTGAAATTTGCTCAGAGAACAGATCGTATGTGTTCACATCCACACACACCATGATAACTATGTGAGGTGATGGATATGTTAATTAACTTGATTGTGGTAATCATTTCACGCTGTGTATATTTATCAAATTATCAGCTTGTATACCTTCAATATATACAATTTTACTTATTGATTATACCTCCATAAAGCTGGAGGAAAATAGTTAAATAAATACAACTCGGTGATCTAAAGATGGTAAAGACAATGAGATTTGAGTGGTGTTTTAAGGGAAGACAGAACTTCCTTGAGGGGGGCAAAGGAGGGATTCTAAGGAGAAACATCGCGGAAGAAACTGTCCATTGTCAAACTTGTTGCAAACTACTTGGTTGGCTCCATTGTCCCTGGGTTTATGGATATTGGCTCAGAGGTACATGAAATGAGGGAGTGTAAGGGTCTGGTAGGCACAGAGATTGGGACATGTAAAGGGAGGGAGGAAGCTGAATGAGAACCCTGGGAAGACTGACAGAAGCCCCAGAAATTCTTCTACTAAAGGAACTGGTAGGAAGGAATTTTATTACTAAGTCCCAGGAAGAATCCTTCCCAAAGTGAACAATCTACTACTCACCCTCTATTATATTAAAAATCTGATTTAAAAATACAATACTGCCTTTGTTGAAAATGAGGCATCCAAGGGAAAGTGATGGGGGGTTGGCAGAGACAAATGTATTTGAAAAAATAAATTAAAATAAAATTTAAAAAAAAATGAGGCATCCATATCCTGGCATTTTATGCCACATGCAAGTTCAGCTATTATATTTCACCCTCCTGCTTTTTCATTCACATAATAACACACAATTTTGATTACAGAGGCAGATTTATGTAGATACACTGATAACAACAGTAAATGCAAATTTTATTATTAAATTCCCACATTGTCCTAATGCACCTGTGCTTTGTTAATTGTTCACTTGACGTAATAAAACACCCAGAAAACACTGGGACTGTTTTTTATCCTGCTGTGGAAACACAACAATGTATTTTAAGCAGGGGGCTTTTGGGGGCTGCAACATCCTATTCCTTGATTTTGATGATGGTTACATGGGTGTTTGCTTTCTATTTACTTTAAATAGTGCATTATGCTTTATATGCTTGCTTTTCGCACACTCGCTCACTCTCGTGTACATATGCACACATACACAGGAAGAAAAAGAAATGAGAAGTGAAAAAAACACCTGATAGCAGCTGTTTATCCATCTGTACTCAGCAATCACATGGAGTTTTTATTTAAAAAGTACTTATGGAAAAACTCTTAGGCAGCATCAGTCTACAGAGAAACGTTGGTTCCCCATAGCTTCTGTATTTGTCCTACTTTACTTGGCACTGGCCATTCTTTGCTATTTAATATAACTGAGAGAGGGTTGAGTTTTTTTCCATAAAGTCGTGACTAGTCAACTGCCTTATGCAAGAGACTATTTCTCTGCACATTGCAGAACTTGTTGCAAACTATCTGGGGGGCTCCATTGTTCTTGGAGATTATATATATATATATATACACACACATACATACATTTTCCTAATTCCTACATAGGTGTCTCAGTTCTTCATTTGTAATGAGGCTCAGAGGATCTTGACAATGTGCCCACAGAAATACCTGATTCTAGTTAATGTTTCAATCCATGTTGATTAGGCACTCAGAAATCTTGCAATAGCTTGGAGTCATACAATATGGCAGGATGATATTAGTGCAGATACTTAAGTGTTTTGTTGTACTGTTACCGAATAATGGACCCATGGGAGAGGGGGTGCGTAGATACTATTACCAAAACAACACCCCTCTCTTTCCCGGAGTCCCTCAGTTCTAGGTCCTTTGCCGGCTGCCCTTGAAATTATGGCTTTCAATGGCAGAGTTTGGTGAAAAGGAAAGGAACTATTTATTCACAAGTTATATAGGTTTTGAATAAAGGTTAAATGTCACTGTTAAAATCTCAAAATCCCTTTAAAACTACCACCAATACATGCAGTCCTGCCTTTCCCCCTCTTTGCCCAGTCAGGCCAGTCAGGCCGGTCAGGGTACCGTCCTTCAGAAGAAAAAGAACAGAAGTCAGGAGCTCAGCTGGACATGCCTCTCGCGGTTCCCAGCACCATCCGCTGTGTTGCCATACTCTCCCGTTCTTAATCCAAAACCATGTGGCACCTTCTCACTGCCCACTAGCAAGAGTCCTTTCTCCCCTTTCCTTCTAGCATGGTCTTCACACTGTTCCCTAAAGTCTGTGTCCCTTTGTCT